AAGAACAGTTCAGAACCTAACGAAAACTGGAACCGAAATAAGGAGGATATATCTCCCACTTGATTCAATACTTCGTGAGCACCTGTTTTTATCAGGATTACTTTAAAAATACAAGGATGTTATTTACTAGGTAGCTATTGAACCAAGGTACCGTAAAGGTTAAGTTGACGTCATCAGTACAAAAAGTAAACAGATCATGATTTGGTTGACGTTTCGTTACGACAAATCTATGTCGTATATGACCAAGGGTATGTTTCTTTTGTTTCATTATTCCGTCTTCTTTCCATAGTTTACGAACAAAATTGAGAATGGAAATGGGGAATGTGTCAAAGAGACAACATCCCGACCAAAGAGCAGAAAACAGCCGAAGGCCACCAATGGGTCTTCAACACAGCGAGAAAATCCCACATTCGGAAGCGGGCTTCAGCTGGCCCCTAAACAAACATGTGCACTAGTTCAATGAAAATGGACGTCACACTAAACTCCAAAACATATAAATGAACTAAAATTAAAAAACATACAAGACCAACAAAGGCCAGAGGCTCCTGACTTGGGACAGGCGCAAAAATGCGGCGGGGTTAAACATGTTTTGTAAGATCCCAACCCTCCCCTATACCTCTAGCTAATGTGGAATAAACAAACGCACAGCAATACGCACAGTAAAACTCAGTTTAAAAGAAGTCCGAGTCCGATATCAGAATAGGTAACAAAAGAAACTAAGCAAAATGACAATGATGCATACATTAACAAATGACTACTAGCATTTACTGACATGCCAGCTTCAGGCCTCAATTAAACTGATTGTAAGATTATGTTTTCATCATATGAAAATCAAGTACAATCCCTCCCGTTAGGGGTTTTGTATCATACCATCATAAAATATATGAGAAGAACAGAAGGTTGTTGTGTCAACTGTTTCTTACTGGTAGAAAATAGTATTTGTTTCTTATATTCTGTTTATATTTCATCATTTAATAATATATGAATTGCGTATTTAACGTCGATTAAAATTGTAGTGTTATGTTTTGGTTTGTTTTGAGATGGAACGTCGAAATTGTTATTTTGATATTTTGAAAAATGTTGAAAGGCATTTACAAAATCACTGTACGTATTGTTTCTTATCAAGCTGCTCTTCTTTACTCAGTGCAATGCACTTTCCTGCAAAGATGATTCTCTTGTATTTTTCAGTTTTTATATTTTGATATATCCTTATTCACCGGAAGTGTCATATTTTTTTATGCAGATTATATTCGTTAGACATGATCTACAATGCTGTTATCTATAATCGACTAATTTATTACATCATATCTCGCATGATTTGTAACTTAAACTTTTAGTCAATGTTTTTATAATCATCAAATGGCATGCGTAAAGAAATTATATATTCACTAAAGCCATTTTAAAAGATAGTATTTTTTTGTATCAGGTACAGTAAACAATTTTACTTTTTAAAGACATGGTAACATTTTAGTATTTAGTAGCTCGTATAAGATTTATCTTGTATTAAAGTTAAATGCTGTCACAACTCGTAGACTATAAGCGTGTAAGCACAATGAAAAAGATTTACTAATTAGCCCTTTTAAATGCTACATTCAAAATATTTCAATTTTTTCACAAATGGATAGTTGCACGTTCATTTTACACTACCTGTTCATATGATCGTGGATATCTTCTTACAGTTGATGTGCATAATGATTGGATAATTGTTTGTTTTCCGCTACTTCGTCATAGAAGCTAGCTGATATTAAGTTTTGGTTGATGTATATGGATAAATGTTTAGTTACACTACCTTCTCATAGAACATAGATGCACTTGTCTCTGAAAAAAACCTATATATCTTAATATAACACAATGTATATCATGTATATATTGTTGTTATGCCGTAAATCTACATTATATTATTACAAAATGGTGTACGATAAGACAATATTTTTTGTCGGAATATTTCGTAGCAGAACTACCAAGCAGGTCAACCAAAAATTATTTCGTATTCTCATAGCGAAATGACAATGTTGACATCAGATATCTAATTCATTTTAGTGATGCTCCATTTAAATTTCGATAGATATAGGAAGATGTGGTATGAGTGCCAATGAGACAACTCTTCATCCAAGTTACAATTTATAAAAGTAAACCATTATAGGTCAAGGTACGGCCTTCAACACGGAGCATTGGCTCACACCGAACAGCAAGCTATAAAGGGCCCCAAATAATTACTAGTGTAAAACCATTCAAACGGAAAAACCAACGGTCTAATCTATATAAAAACGAGAAACGAGAAACACGTATGAACTACATAAACAGACGACAACTACTGTAATCAGATTCCTGACTAAGGACAGGTGCAAACATTTGCAGCGGGATCAAACCTTCTCCCTTTTCTGAAACAATAGTATAACATCGCAACATAGAAAAACACACTATAAAATATCAATTGGAAGGCTTAACTAAATCAAAAAACGTAAATTAACACACAATGAACGAATAAATTTGACCTGTGACACCTGAATGCAAATATACAGTTAATAAAAAATTACAAGGGATAAATAATTAAAGTCAAAGGTAAATAATTATAGAATAACTAATCGAAGAATTCAAATAGAGAAAAATATTCAACGAGTGACCGAACAACACATTAATTCACGAATGCGCGTAGCGCATGAGTTAATTATCAGTGTTGTTCGGTCACGAGTTGAATATTTTTCGATATTTGAATTCTTTGATTAGTTATTCTTTTTATTACATTGGCAAATGGCTTTTTTTAATGAAATTAATGTAGAAAATGTAAGGAACTATATCTTTTTTCTACGCATTCACAATTTGTTTTGATCCGACGTTATCGACGTCTTGACAACGCCTATTGTTGTATGACGTCAGAGAGTGAAATAACCACGTTTATTTCACATGTGAAATTATCGGTTTTTATTTGACTGGGAAATCAATGTAATTCAATGCTACCAATGTAATAAACAGGTTTAAACAAAGTTAAAGTATGATATCACTGTGAAATTTCAAACAATTTATAGAAAATCATCACTTTTGAAGAAACCTGCGTCATATATGTTTTTATATGATTGCCCCAAAAAGAAATAAATGTACCTTACTTTACTGATATCTTAAATAAATTACAGATAGTTTATATGTAGATCAAATGAATATACAGTTTTTATCTTCATCTCTGTCAGATACTGTTATTGTCTTATTTAAGAATATTTGGAATGTAATAAGATAAATAGTTTTCATATTCCCGGATACCATTCTGGCTTCTAATTGCTGACCACAGCCATATATCATATATAACCTTTGAACTCTATCAAATTTAAAATACGTATGGCAACATAATCATGAGGTATGATGGTAATTTGACAATTCCCTCACAATGCGTTCGAATGCGTCTGAATCAATATGTAATGAAATGACAACGCTGTAAGTGTGACTGTATATAATTTGCATTTATGTATTGATATGAACGGAACTGGTTTAATATTTGATAAATAAGAATATAACTATATATATATCATAAAAATAATCGTCTACCTAAAGGCCGTAAACCTATAATGCTATAGTTGCTGACAACTACGTCATTTGTTCTCTGGTGGATAGTAAGTCAGCGAGCACCTTTTGCCGTGAATGTTTTATTTTTCTTTGCGAGGGATACGAATAAACTTTTTAAATTCTTCAGAATGCCTGTCATTCCCAAAAAATGTTTGTTTATTTGACGATATTGAGGGTGTTTTCATTCCTGATTTAATAATGATGTAGTTATTCAACTAAAGCATTTTGAAATTTACGTATTTGGCCTAAACATATCATTTTGCCAAAAGTTATACGAGCCATAACCTTACCCAAAAAAAGACATAACCAACATTAACATATATCAAGTTTCAAAAGATCTTTTATCTGCGACACATACTTAAATGTGAATGACAAGATCTAAATTTGAGGATATTTTTGTAGTTTGTATTGAATGCGCTAATTTGAAGCCACAAAATAAATTAAAAAAAATATAGATATTTAGAACTAACTGACAAAGGTCTGCACGAAATCTGAAGTCTGTTATTTCGTTTTGATTACTGTGAATTTCTTTATTCTATTCTTGCATTTTTCATCTATGTACAAATTTTTCATTTATATCATCAATGCATTAATTCTCAGTTATGTCTGATAAAAAGGATGTATAATGTATCATTCCATAATGATAATGGCGGAAAAATGAAAGTTTAGGGCCGAAGTCCATAACTACTTTCGAGAAAACGTTGACGAATGTCCCTAGATGTAGCATTGTAACGTTATCGTGTATACAACAGTCGATCGTTTGTCTCGAAACTACTTATCGACGTCAGGATTATATGAGTAGAAGTATATAGTGTAGTATTGCCTGGAGATCAAAGTGCGGCATGGACTGGACAAACTTTTTTATTGAATGTTGAAGACTGGTGCTCTTGCATAACTATTAGAGAAGAAATACTAGTTTAATGATTAGCAACATCCGATGATGTTATCAACATCCTGTCCGGTCGTAAAGAAATGTAAAAAAGTTTAAAAAAAGACATCATTGTGTATATTGTCTTTTTTCCGCTCGTAAGAAATGTAAAAAAGTAAAAAAAAAAATACATCGTTGTGTATATTGTCTTTTTGTTAAGTAAAAGTTATTACTGGTAGCTTATGTTTGCTCTACAACCGTACTTTGAAGTCACTGCATTGGCATGATCCTACCTCATATTTTATTTTTGTGTTATGGATTTTTTTCTCTCTTCAAAATACTCCTGATCAATATAAAATATTGTTTCCAATATATATAACGATGAAGTAACAGACCATTAACAGTAACATTTGGTGGCAAAATTTTTTATTCATTTTCATTAATGCATTAATTTCCAATCATGACAAACAAAAATAATGTCATATAAAATATTATTCAATAATATCCCTTGACACATTTCTTGAGAAATTAATAGTTAACATGTCATTTTACTGGTGTATCTGTTTTTGTATTCCAGAACTTACAGTCAGAATTGATTCAACAAAACAATGAGGATCATTATCTCTTTACAAAGGTTTATTGGCTCCTGTAAATGACGACAATTGTCTTTGAACACCTAACAATGATTTCAATGTCATGTAAAAAATTGGAATGACATTATTTTTTACCACAACATATTATGAAATATGAGCATTAAAATGGAACAGTAGAACAAGATTTCAATATGGCATACAATGGAACCATTAGTGACACGGAACAATTGTCTTTCCAAGAAATGATGACGAAAGAAATTTGGCAAAACTTTATGAAATGTAATGAAACTGTTCTACATAAACCATATCCGTCAGATGGTAAGTTTTGTAACAATTTTACTGATTATTTGCGGTTCTTTTTTCGTGCAATGTATAGTCAAGCTGTATTTATTGGCTTACTTAACAACAGAATATAAAATTAATACTCTTAGCCAAAACACCTATTTACATAAAAAAAAAAAATATCAGCACGATCTATAAAACTTTATATGGTAAATGATGGTGGCTGGCATGGGAAGGTTTGGGTTGGGCAGCGGAAGATTTGTTTTTGGGCACAATTCCACTCCTGCTGAATAATGACTGTAATTCGACCATGAGAATAGAACATTGATATAACTCTGTGTCTTTGTCATTTAAATATTACGTTCTAGTTACAGTAGCCCATTCATGATAACTTGTAGTATATATGTCTTGTGTCATTGTCTTGCTCGGAAAAAAAATATTGGAGGCCAAATCGGCCAAATGTCAAAAGATTTCTGACAAAACATTGACATATTTTTACAGACCTGAATTGCTGTGAGGATGTAGTATCCGCTGTATTTCTGATCTACCTATAGATGCATTCAGGGTAATAGAAAATATATACTGTCTATACTATAAACGAAATGGTAACCATATGACTTCCACCCGCCTGAGCAAATTCAAACATATTTGCTGAGAGCCCAAATCTATGCTATTAGTCTCGTGGTAATATTTAATTTTTATACGAGTTTAAGAAAGCAGAAGATATGTTAAGGCCATTTTTTACCCTTGAAATCGAAAATCAAAATTTGTGATAAATCTATCAAATAACACTCTTTAGATAATCATGACTCATTACGTTATCAGATAGCATTTTTTTTTTAAATTTCATTATTGCCTATTTGTATTAGGCAAAATCTTTTCGTGCAGTAAGTGCAATCTGAAAAGATTGCCAAAATAGCATCACATTAAAATGTTTGAAAATTTGGTAAATTTTGACATGCTCATGATATCACAGTCACATCAAAAAGTGATATTTTGTATTAAACTTTCCATTTTAGCATCCGATTTTATTTGTTAGTAAAATAAATATAATCTTAAAAGTCTTCAGAATTTTCCAATTTTTGAAATCTAAGGGCTAAATTATTTCTATTATCATACCTCTGCTGTTTTGATAAAAAACTAATGACCTAGTTAACATGTCGAGGTCAGTATTTATTATTTTCTGACATAGCATAATACATTGATTGTTTTATGGATAAAGCGCGAGCCAGATGAAACAAAACTGGAGGCTTTATCTGAAAGGATCGAATGTATTTGGCCATGCATTCAGAAGCATTTACGACGCACAGTGAGCACACGCCAGAAGTTGTATATGCTTTATCATCTCTTCACGACACGTATGTTATCATGCCAGCAGACAAAGCGTCTATTATTATTGTTTTTATATGCAAAAATCATTATTTGGAATATGTAACCAAATAATCCGAATTAACAGCAAAACTCAGAATCTCGCATACACCCTTACATCATTCACGAAAAAGGAGATTTTAGAAAGTCATATACTAGTATCCGTCCTTCTCTTCTTTAGTATTAACATAAAATGGACAGTTAAGGGCAATGTCCCGTCTTTATACTAGATACCTAAACTTAACAAAACCATCATAAAGAACGGTAATTAGCCCGGGTCGTCAACAGGATGTTTGACTAAACATTTTCTAAAGTTCTTAACACAATTCTTTGTATAGTAAAAGATGGCCTTCAAAAGTACTGTGATGAGGTATATTCAACCAATCAGATGTGGATTCTTAAAATTTTTGAAGATCTACTGCAAAATCTTCAATCCCATTATTTACAATATTGCAGTAGTATCAAAACTTTTGATTGTTCTACTCTTTACACTGCTACTCCCATGCTCTATTGAAAAATCGAATGCATCGTCTCAGTAAACAGAGCACTTTTTTTTTTAACCAAAAGCGGATTCGCAGATACAAATTTCTTGCTTGAGGACTTGAAAAATCTGTCTTTTGTGCAGAATCGCACTGATTCCGAAATAAAAAAACACCGAAAGTGATATATTAATGTTTGATCGACAACATGTTTTTTGAGTTTGGTGGATTTCTATTTCAGCAGACAGTCGATATTCAAATGGGTACCAAGTGTACACCTTTACTAGCAGACTTGTCTTTTGAACTTATATGGAGAATTCATACAATAATACATTTTTAAAGAAAAAGAGAAAAATATCTTTACTTTCACTTTAAGATATAGTGATGATGTCCTGGCAATCAATTACCCTCATTTCAGTGAGTGCTTTCATCACACACAGCACAGTGAACTTGAGATCAAGGATACCTCCGAATATGGAAGTTCTGATTCATTATTGATCTTTTCTTGATATTGACACTGATGAACGACTTCAAACTAGAATCTATGACACACGTGATGATTTCCACTCTCCAGTTGTCAACTTGTCATTACTCAGCATTAAATTACCATCTGCTCCATCATATGGCGTTTACATATCTCAATTGATATGTTACACTCGTGCATGTTCTAACTATACATATGTCATTAGCAGGGTTGTGATCCTTACTCAAAAATTGCTCCAACAATTAATAAAGAAGAATGACTAAAATCGGTACTTCATAAGTTTAACCGTCACCATCACTTACGAGCAACATGTTTTCGCAGTCTTAGGTCTTTCAATACCAAAAAAGTCGTCTAATATGTAACTTTACGGGGTGTGTACGGTCCTTGATTGAGACATTTTGACTGAGTGTTGATTCGCATAGCGGGTGATGCATACATAGCAGGAGACCCTTACTCTGTCGCTTACTCCTTTTGGAGTAAATGCAATTCCCGCATTATATTTTGTTACCTTGATTTGTCTTCTTAATCGATTGATGAGATTTGAACATCGGTAAAATACTGTTGCCTATATGTACTGTATAAAATGATTAACAATTACATGTCATTAAAAAGTGGATTAGCTATCACATTTATATTCATCATTCTCATATTTGATTGACAGCATACTAAAACGTATACCCAAATTACAAAATGTCCAAAAGAAACAATTAACAATGCATGAACTCGTTATAATGTATCAGCATTTCATGCGTATTTAAGCATAGACGCTAACTTATTATCCAGCGAGATGACCTCCCACGACTGCCGACAGTCATATTACCAGATATAAACATTACTATCAATTTATATGAACAGAAAAGCACGTGCTATCCTATAAGGACGATTTTTGTAGGTCTGTTTGACATCATGATATAGATAAACAATATATGTATATCATCGTTGTACCTGTATAAGAACGATTTTTTTTGTGGGCCGGATGATTCAACGAAATGGTTTTTCCTGGTGTCTCCTTTGAATGAATGAACCATATGCGTACACATGTGCAACCTTCTCCAATTAAAGGCCAAATTAAAGGTTGAATGCATACGGACTCAAAAGAGTTGAATTATTGACTTGCAATTACATTATCGATACCAATTTTACTGCACCAGATACACATTTCCACAAAAGATGTCTCTTTAGTGATGCCCGAGGCCAAAATATTTGAAGAACGAAAACTTATACAAACGTTTAAGAGCTGATCAAACCAAAAAGGATAGCCAAATCCGGACAAGGAATCAGAACTGAGTAGGAGGGAGACAAACCAATAATACATCCGCGATGTTTTTGTGGCTTACTCGACGAAATTGAACCAAACTGACTGCTAATGGCGAAATATTATTTTTATATTCCGCCTTTTAAATGCTTGAAACAAAACAAAAACAATCATATTGTTTTGTTTAATTCGTAGCTAATGGACCTTTTAATACGATCTTAAAATCACACAAGCCGCCGATTAAAAAGTAAAAGTGTAAGTCAATAACAATTGTAATCATTCACCCCACTTCAGAGTAATATCCTGTCATCATAAACAGAAATTCGTTATGGCCTTAACTTTTGATGTTTGGTATAGTATGACATTTAAAGTGTCGTGTAGATGCATAAATACTTTATTTTTATAAACAATCTTTAAAGCTTCTGTATTTTACGGTATTTTAATATTTGGGAAGTTAGATTTTCTGCCTTCATCATAGTCTTGAAAATTCTAGGTCAATATTGACCAAGCTTGCTAGTCATTATGACTTATTGGATGCTTAGAAAGATTTAAAATGTTCATTTCGTAGAAATTTTTATTAAATAAATGATGTAATGATTTTTGAACTACTTATCCAGTGTTTTGAAATGTGCAAGGATTGCTTTTTATGACAAGTAATTATTTATTTAGATAGGTCACAAACATTCTGACTATGGTTTTGCATAACTGCCTTCTGTTTTCTGACAAGCAATAATTTTTGTGGATATGCCAAAGACACTATGACTTTCTTCTACTTTGAATTTTAATCTTTACAGAGATAACATGTCACATTTGATTGATATCCGTAGATGATACGTAATTGCGATGGGATTAAGAAGTCTACCATACTCATTCCTTATTCCAGAATTATAATTTGCAGAAATCATTTCCACTTAAAATTCAAATGCTTTATGTATGCATACGGTCTGAACTATGAATTGGATACCTCACTCAAAACTGTCGCTGTTTTGCAGACTGAATAGTCGTAAGAGGGCATGCTTAATAGATATATACGTAACTATAAAGATATTTGATTGACATCACATATGCTAAATATATTAGTATATTGTCTCTCAAACGTCTGTATTGAGATTTGATTCACCTACACAAATTATGCTATGTATAATACCAAAATCATATCAAATTATGTTTTTTTCTGGGTTTAAACAGTTTTCTCTTTATATCTCAAAGGCAGATGTAGATACTGAAAAACATTCTTAAATGTTTTAGAGTGCATACACTTTTAGTTCGTATCTTCGTGCAACAATATAAAGCATTTGGCTTCTCTACCATATATACGAATAATCCTCGACTGACAGATGGAAAAGGTCAACTTTGTTTCATGAAAAAGAATAGCAAAACTTTATGCAAATGTCTTATTTTTGCAACGAACAAATCATGATTTTATCAGAGAAAAAAGTCCCGCTCTCAT